AAAGACAACCCATATCTGGAGTAAGTGTCAATTCTGCTAAGGTTGGATTGTTCTCCCTTACAGGGTGGCAGGATTCCAATATACTCAACATGTCACTGTATGGCTATATTTTCTCCTTGAGGGCAGGTGCCATGTTCAGACTTGACATATATCTCTGCAGCTAGAAGGTTAGGCATTCAGCAGTGGCAATAATTAAGTTGACCTTGATAAGACAGAACCCATGCTGTTGGGTCCGTGCACAGCCTCCATCCTTGCCACCATAGCATTTCTGTCCATGGGCTCATTGCACTTAGCACTATAGTGGCTGAGGGGGAGAGGCTGGCTGACATTCACAGGACAAGTCATTCTATCCAAATGCTCACTGACTTTCTCCTTTGCCGTGAATGTCCTCCATTGGCTCCCAAGCCCCTTTAATCATGAGTATTTGTCCAGTACTTCCAAACTGCATATGCCTGAATATTGAGCAGGTTCCTGTAGGCATCCTATATCTTAGCCTCAGAGAATTGCTGACACAGGAAAAGAGGGGTATGTATGATGGCCAAGGTGAGATGCTGTCAGATTATACCTACATGGAGCTGGAGAAAGCCTGTGCAAAACTTGCTGTAGTGGTAGCCAGAGCGAGAAATGGGGCTGCTAGAAAGGAAGTGGTAGACAGAGGTGTTTGACGCAATACCAAATACATGTTTGTTTGGTGAAAGAAAAAATGAAGGAACCAATGTCTGTTTTCACAATATACTGCCATTTCTTGACCTCCCTAATGTAGAAAACATTTTGTAAGTGGCTTTTGTGTACTTGCTGAGTCTTTTATTACTTTCCCTCCCCACTTCTATCAAGCATCATTGATGACATTTAAGAATCAGATTAGCTCCATTTGTTACTTAGATTGAGATACACAAGGGAGTAGGCTATGATATACCACATGTGCTGCTCAAGTCGCAAACATCTTCCAGGCTAATAACGACAGCCAGTGCTTTTTGAGCACTTACCACGCTCCAGGAACTTAGTTTGGTGCCTTGTTGGCATCATCGCACAAGGTGAGATGAGGTGTTTACTATTTGAAGTGCTTACTATAATTATTTCATAATATTGCCTAGCATATCCCATAGCTTTTTCCCTTACAGAAATACCAAATATCCTGTTATCTTTGCTTCTAAATTCTGCTCTTAACATATCCCATGATATGTTAAGACGCACAACATGTTCGTCTAGTATAAGCTGAGCTATCCTAAACTGTTACAGTGGAAGTGGAGGTCAAGAGCCGGCACTTTTGAGCTAAAATGTCTCCTCCTTGGGGTCGCCCACCTTCTTTCTCAGACCTGCACTTAGTCTATGGAAATTTTCTGCTGTCACTTTCAACTTCCCCTCTCACACCCTTCTTATCAATCCTTTTGTCTTGTGTCTGGGCAGGTCATAGAGTTTCAGAATAGCTGTTCCACACACGGGTCCCTTCTAAAGAAAGAGGCCTGAAGTTGCAGGGTTCTCCTCTGCATAGATTGCTGTTCCTTGAGTTTCCAAGTGAAGCCATGCCAGATGCCTGACCTCATCTGATAGATGCATGGTGACTAAAGAAGTTCCCTCAGGCTTGGGTTGTTGTCCCAAACAAAGGAGAGGTAATGTT